ATTGTTAGAAAGATAATTTGTGGGAGTTCTCAAGCTCACTGGTTGGCATTGTTGAAAAGACAAAAAAGTTTAAAGCCTTTCTTTGCACACCATCCAATTTTTTATGCACTAAATCAGCTAGAAGTAGAACCAAACTAAAAAATTTCTGCCATTTTCTGCACCATGGAAACAAGAAACCTGTCAATCTGCAATTACCTATTCCACATCCATTTGAGATCAATTTCTGCTGTGGGAGTATAGCCAACAGGTTCAGATCTACAACCTGTGTTTGTCATGGGAGATTGACATAGTTTATTTTTTGTTTCATTCTCAAATAAGTACAAATATTAAAACATGAATAAGATTGATGTCAGGGTGCATGTCAAGGTGCATTACAGTCTAATAAAGACTACACACTTTTCTTCTCATGTAATTTCTTACAGCAATGTCAACCAGAGAATATAAAAATATTCAAAGTGTTCATCTATAAATTCCACTGTGATAAAACTGCACACTGATTTCCTAAGTAATCTTATATATTCAAATTTTCTTCTAAAGCTGAAATATTACTTTCTTGAGCCCTATGAAAGCTACTTATTTTTAAAGCCCATACTAATTTTGTATTTTTTCCTCATAAATTAAACACGGCCACTTTTTAAACTAGAGATATTTTTTCTGATGGACTACTTTAGCCTGAAGGTTTATTGTGTTTAATTCAGAGCTTTTGTACGTTTGAAATGCTGGTGCTCATTTGTGAAACTCTCAAAAATACATTTTAAAATCCTCAGTATTCGATGTTCTTAAAGAACTCACATGCTTCAGCATCATGTGCATCATCCCTTTCAGTGGGATTCCCCTAAGTCGTGCACAGCTTAAGTGCTTTTCGGTGTTGGGTTTGAAACTTTCATGTTAATTAAGAGTGCTCCAAGCAGAATTAATGGTTATGACTGCCTACAGTGCTCACAGCAGCTACAAGGCTCTCTCAGCTTTGACTCCAAGCATTAAAACAGAATGAGCAGTGATAGCCCATTTTCAGTATCTCTAGCAACACAAAAGGCAGGCAAAGCCAGGTGAGGTGATGTGGACAGGAAGGTTTAGATCCTCCTTCCAGGCAGGAGGACATTCAGCAGGGCAGGGGACACAGGTGTAACTGCTGCTTTGAAAGAGGGGAGTGGTTAAATGCATAACTAGCTCTCCCCAAATGTCACCTCCAGTATCTCTGATTTCACCAGTATGCCAGGCAGCAAACTGGGCCAGCCACAGAGCAGACATGTAGGTATGACTGAACACACTGTTACTGTACTTACATACTAAAACAGGAGTGAAAACTCTTTCCCAAGATCCACATGACGGTGTGTCTTCATCCGTGGCACAGAGAGGTTTTGTGAGGCCTGATTACAAATTGCTACCTAGAACAACTACTAATCATTTACCAGAGAAAACCATCCTTGCAGAACTGGTACTCTCCATAGGTCTTCACAGCAGAACCAAACAACTTTCTGGGGACACCTCTTATCCACAACCAGGCATTTGGTTCCATACAGGTGTAAGTGGGTGAAGAAGCAGCTCAGATACTACTCAATATACTTCCCTTTGGATTAAAATTCATGACTTATTAATGGCATTTTAAATATGCCCTATCTAGCACAAAGAATATGGTCTTTGAAAAACTCTAATACTGATCAATTACATAACATTTCCATAATGATACAGGAACACTGAAGCATTTTCTCCTTTATGTACTTTCATGTGATTTCTTAAATCCCAGATGGAGAATAATTTGTCTTCAGTCTAGTTATACTTGAGGCACTACCAGTCTGACATTTTGCTTTCAGGTTCTAGCAACATCAGTACTGAGATCAGAGGTATTAAAACTTAGAAAATCTGACATGTTATGTCAAATTACACAGACAGTATCTGAGAGCAAATGGAAGAACAGACAGATTGAATTAAACAACAGAAAAGGAGAAAGAAACCAAATTACAGGAGGGAAGATAGAGACAAATGTACAAAAGTGAAAGATTAAGCAAATATTCTAGAGTAATCAGATGGGTGTGAAGAAAAAAACATTAGACATTGTTGAAAGCACAAACGTAGGGATATAAATTCAGACATAAAACATGTAGCTACATACAGTATGGGCATGGTCCCATTAACACTTATGCACATACAAGATTCTATTTGCAACATTTGCATAAACTGGAGGGAATACTCATGTGAGTAACATGTACAAGAGGTAGCAGGATTTGGCCTCCCACTGTTTTTCTTTGTGTACATCATGTATATCTGTAAAACATTTAAGCAGGCATTTCAACTTCGAAGAAGACTGAACTTGGAAATAATAGGGCCTAAGGGAAACCTTTCCAGGAAAGCTGGTGGAATTACAGTTCTGCAAAGCACCAAGAGGAATACCCTAAGGACTAATTATTTGACAATACAACTAATGGTATTACTTTGAAGCATAATAAAGTTAAACCTGCAGCTTGCATAGATGGGAAGTACTTGCTGGAGGGAAGAACAATGGATGTGTGAATCCAGAATCAGGGAATCCTAATTAACCCTCTAACTGCTATCAGCAGGAAGGCTAATAGCAACTCTGAAGTGGTCTAAATTACTTAATCCTAAGGGATTGCCTCTGTTAATGAGACACTGAGTGTTAGCTGTCCTCAGCCATGTTTTCAGTAATGAGGCACCTTTATAAGGCAATAAACAACTGGTTTGCCTAATAGCAGGCTGGGATTCTCCTGAGGGACAGAAGCTACTGTCCAAGTGACACGAGTTATCGTCCTCATCCCACAGATAAGAAACTAAAGTCCAGCATGTCACTTCCCATGATCCACTGGTCAGGCCAGAGATGGAGTTTATGGGTCAAGGTCGTTTAGGATGACACTACAATTTTCCTCTAGAAGATGACATCTAAAACTCTACTGGGAATAGTGTTTTATAGGATGTTAAAAAACATGAAGCATAAAAAAAACCCCAAGAGAGTCTGTCTTTTGTAATACAATAATTAAACTTGTTTAAAAGTATTCTCATTTTGAAACTACAAAAAGAAAAGCCTTAAAAGTCTTTGATCAAGCAATCAAAAACCCATGACCTTCCTTCTCCAAGAGTTTCTGGCTGTGGCTTGTCAAAACAGCACAAAATCTCAATATTATTCATATGGGTACCCAAAATATATGGAATCAGGCTTCCCAATACTACTTCCCTCATCACAGAGGGTTTGGCAGACTTCTAGGCTATTATCCTATCATTTCTATCTACCTCTGCTACTGTGCCTCAGCTTCATTTGCACCACTAGAAAGATGCAAAAGATAGGCTTCCACAAGACTAAACAAAAATTAAAACCAATATTAAAAAAAAACCCACACTTTAAGAGCAGTCCTCAAGGAAGCTACATCTTACTGTTTAGTTTCTGCCAGATATCTATGTTGCAAAGTGCAGCTAGAAATACTTCTACAAAAATGAAATTAGTCATTTAGCAGCATCCACAGCAACCACTTAGACAAAACATTTCTGCAGCAGACATTGTTTCCTAAAAAAATATTAAATAATCCATTGATTATATTGTCTCAATTACAATGTTGAGACTTTCCAAACTATTGCAACACACACAAGTTTAGTTACAGAAAGGATGGATTTCAGAAGTCACAATATTGTGGGCTTTACAGAAAATATGTTTTCCTTGAAATGATACTGAGATATCCTTGAAGAAGGAATTACCTCTAGCCTATAAAATAGAATTTCTGGCAACACTCCATAAAGTAGAACACAGTGGCCTCTAAAAATAAGCCATGGTGCTATCAGGAGCACAGATTACTTTTTTTCTGGCAGAGAGAGCCCAATGCATCCAGAAACGACTGTGAGAGGCCACAATGAGCCAGCAACAGCTGCCCTGGCAGCCACCCCATGCCATGACAGGGGGATCAGCCTTGTCACCATCTAGCCTGGGCATACCCTGTGTGCCGGCAGCAGCACCATAAGGCTGCCAGCACCAACAGGAGGCGGGTGGCACCCCCTGTGGCAGGGAGTGCTGCAGAGCAGCCCCTGCCCTGAGGGAGAGGCAGCGGTGTGGCCGCCGTGAAGGGGATGGACAGTCCGTGGGTGTATTTCTGTTGGTGTAAATATGCACGTGTGTATATTTCATACACACACATCCATGCACAATGTGCACGAACAGCTTTGTGCACATACATATCTAAAATCTCAGAACGAGCTGAGCAGGAAGGGATGACAAGGATCACTGAGTCCAGCTCCCGGCCCTGCACAGGATCACACCAAGGGCCTGAGAGCACAGTCCCAACACTTCCTGAGCTCTGCCAGGCTGTGCTGTGACCCCTTCCCTGGGGAGGGGAGCTGTTCCAGTGCCCAGGCACCCTCCGGTATAGAACCTTCTCCTGATACACAACCTAAACCTGCTTTGGCACAGCTTCAGGCCTTTCCCTCGGGTCTTGTCACAGGGCACCAGAGGAACGACATCAGCGTCTTCCCCTCGGGAGGATGTCAAAGACTGCGATACACACACACACACACACACACACACGCACACACGCACGCACGCACACACAAACGCGCGTGCGCATGTTTGTGTGTGTGTGTGCATATATATGTATGTATGTATGTATGTATGTATGTATGCATGTACGTATGTATGTATGCACTTCAGTAGGTATATATGTGTGTCTGTTTCCCCCGGTGCGTGTCCGTGCGCCTCTGCCCCGGCACCAGCCCCGGCC